AACTTGCTCTCTCTTTGGTTCACCTATGAGTAGTTGCATTCATAGTTAGGCTCTTACCTTTCACCCGGATTCTTTTAGGCTTTTTTATTCTTTTTTTGGGCCTTTTGGAACTTAATGATTCACCGAGCAGATTGTAAAAAACTTTTTCCAGCTTTTGGTATATAAAATTCACATTTTATCAAAAAAAAAACTTGTAATGCGTTTTCATAACGAAAAGGTGAAAATAAAGTATGTTCATTGCAAAAAAAATAAGTAAAAAAAGGGTCCCAAAACATTTTTGTAATGATTTTTTTTATAACAAAAGGGTGAAAAATAACATGTTAGTTTAGGAAATTTCCCAAAATTTAAAAATATTAAAATGCAAACTCCGTTAAAAGAAGATATTTGAGTTATAAAAATAAACATGGGAAAATAGTAAAAACATTTAGAAAAGAAAATGCATAAAAATGTTTTAATATTAACTTTCAAAATCTCAAAATATATTAGTGTTTAATTTCTACATTCTGATAATAGGGAATTTAAGTTAGAGAGCAAAAATGAAAATTCATTCTCCGTACATGTACTAATTTAGATTAGTTAACTTACTAAAGAAATGAACAAGAAAAAATAATGTAAGATTACATAATAAGGCATTTAAATCAGTTTGATGCAGATATTGATGAAAAATGTTGAGAACTTCAAAACAAAACAAATATGGCTTGTCTGGGAAAACTCTCTCTTACTGAAAACGCAAAGTCTTTTAAAAAGAAAAAATGTTATCAGAAAAAATGAAACAAATATATGTGTTGTGCTTTGTGACAAAATAAAATAAAATAATATATATATGTGTTGTGCTTACTTTTGGAATCTGTCATAAAAAGATCTACGAACATATTTCAAAGTATTCAGTTTTAAGCAACATGAATAACTACGATTTCAACCTAGACCCGAATATGATCATATGGAAACAACTATCAGATTTAGATTTTTGTTCTTTTGATATTCTGGTTAATATAAAAGCTTAAAACTGTACAGAGGGAAATAATAATGAGAGTAGAACCGAAATTTAAGAGCAACATATGAGAGAATTTTGTAGAGTAAAAAAGAGAGCATAACAAAGAGAAACAATAGAGTTATGGTTCAATAAGATGAAACCAAGTTATGAGATAAGATTCAATCGATGGATTATTCCTTTGTTCCCAAAAATGTTCCAGTCTTGCTTTGAGCAGGACACGATCCTGAAGTGTGGAGTGGAGCATTTCTTTCTTTCCATTTTAGCTTATCAACACTCACAGGCCCACGTGTCTTAATCAGAGAAATCCTCTAGTTCATCTAGTGGATCTTATCTTGAGAAACCCTCTCAATGTAAAAGAGTCTCTCCCACGCTTTTAGCTTATTCTTCATTTACTAGCTTGTGTGTTG